TTTTTATTTTTTTTCTCCCCTGTGTCCTCTGCCTGCAAGTTCTCCATAATAGCATGAAGTTATGATTGCAATGCATAAGTGTCTCTATTACCAGTGCACAATCACTAACTGCTCCCCTTCGCATGCCCATTAACTATCCTATGAACCTTTGCACGCCCAACCCAAATTCCAGCAGACTACAAATTGAACCATTGATTCAACCCAACAACCAACCACAAAACACTCCTAACACTGGTACCCCAGTACCCTGGAACACCAGTCCTCGGAAGTCCAAACCCCTCAGCCAACGGCTTTTCTCATACCCGCTAGTTTCACGGCTCACCTACCGAAGATACGTCAACGGCCCTTCCACGAGCTATGGATGGCCATGTGTCTGGCCAGGGCCGTACCCCACATATGAGACAGTTCCACAGTTGACCAGATTATGGGATCTGGTCGAGGCCTCTGATCTAGACCCGTCGAAACTTAAGCCCACACAAAGCAACGGGTTTGCCCTGCATAGACTTGCATGCACACTTTGTTCGGAGACGGTGGAAGGATATGGTTCCACTGCTCGGCTACTTTTACTGATATGTACTCTGGGCCGAGTTGGTGGAAAGTATATGCATATGATCTGATACAGGGCCGGATGCTTTCGGTATCGTGTGGAATAGGTGGACAAAGGGTTGGTGTTTCGTTCAGGTCACCTTATGGGGTGTAGTTGATGGCAATGATGCCGGTGAGTTGATTTACTTGCAGTTGATGTCCTTTTGTTTCGGGACTACTGTAGTGGGCAGTGACCACTGCAGACATCTAGATGATACGGAGGTGCTGGGTGATCTCCTCGAGCTCTAGATAAGTCCTGGCAGGCGGGCACCTCGAGTGATGTCATTCAGTACGCTACTTATATATTTCCCCGTGTGTGACCATAACTACACAACTGATCATGCTACAAACCATCAACATCTTCGCCTCTATCACCCATAAACACACGCCAGGACATTCAACATGCCCACTACACAATGCCCCATCTATACACCCACACAGAAGAGTCCCAAACATAACAACCACCCGTAGGGTACTCCCAACTCTTACACAACGAGCTTCATAATCTCAAGTTTTCTAAATTCGCAAAATTTCGAAACTCCCAGGTCGTATGGGGTAATGGTTATCCCTTCGGATTTTGATTCCGACAATCCCGGTTCGATCCCGGGTACGACCTTTTTGCTTCTCTCTGTCTTGGAGCAGAATAGTCGAGGAAGGAAAGAAAGCTTGTAGGAGACCGTAGTGTGATTTTTTTGGTGGGTGTGTTGGCAGAGCGCGGGTACATGATATCTGCTAAGTCGATAGCAATTGAATCATTGATGAGTTATGTATCATGTGCGGAGTGCTTCAATGACGAAGAAGGATAAGCTATCGCTGCACTACTATCTACCGGATATATACGATGTCAATGGCGTGTCCGGTGCTTGCTGATATGGCTAGACCATAAGTATATCTGACGGTTGACTGCATGTACCTGGGAGTGCCAAGGATCCGAAAGCCAGGAAGGGATCGATGACAGACACAAGGGCTATAGCCTTTGTACCCCTTACTGGCCAGGGATATGCCAGGGCCCAGAAGAACACGATTGGATGAGCACCAGAAATGAAAGTGGAGGGATTGGCAGCATACATAGAGGTACCTTGCATTGGGGAATGTCAGACCGAGCACAAGAGTAAGTATACCGAATGCAAAGAAAGATATAGAATGACAAATGGTAGTTACCGATACTGACAAGCATCAAGGAATCTGCAACTATAGAGATATCGAAAATTTACCAAACACAAAACAGCCTAACATCACAACCCCAAACTTGTCACAGCACCAACCCTTCTCATCAAACAATTGACCCTCCAACAGAACCCGATCACTTCCAAATGCAATTTGGGCTATAATGTCAAAATAATCGCCAATTCAACAACTAAGGTTGTGTAGTGTAATGGTTATCACTCTGGATTCTGATTCCAGCAATCCCGGTTCGATCCCGGGCACGACCTGATCTGATTTCCTTTTTTTGTCCTCCTACATAGCAGCAGACATAGCAATCGATAACAGTTTCGTTTCATTCTCGTCATATCAAACAGATAACCAATGAAGTAAGCCCGTTGCACTAGAACCCCGGGAGAAGTTTCTCAGAATGGAACCATTCCAAGGCTGAGGAACCTACTATGACACCAACCGCTTCGCCAGGTCATACATACATTAATTAACATTAGGCATATCCACATAGCAGTACATTGCTGGTTGCCACTTACTGTGCAGTAGTGTGATTTCTTCGTAACGGAGGGAGGGATAGTAGGAGGTGTGCTTGCTATGGTACTACTATCTATGTGGTTTGTCTTACGTTTCACTTGCGACAACGATATCTATCTCTCTATCTAGTACTGTGTACTAAAAACTCAAACTTCCTCCGACACTAATGAATCTATGTATAGACCTTCAATCTCCGAGTAGAACTACTAGCTAAGACAAAGAAGCACTGCACCGAAATGAATGTCTTGAATTTAAGCTTCCGGGTGGTCCAATTCCCCTTCTCTTTTCCTTCCATTCATCACTGTCATGTTTCATTTGGGGCTTGTTGTTATGCCGGCTATTTTTGGGCGGTTGTCTTATCCATGCTGTGGGGAATTAGGGCACCGCGTGCTATCGGTCCGGTTAAGGATGGCGGCGTTATTCCTGCAGATGTTGCTTTTACTAGTCTAGACTGGAATCTTCTAATGCATGGCTAGTTGGGTGGGTTATTGAATTTTGTTTCGGGCGGGGTTGGGTGACAGGCAAAGTGTGCTCTAAATATTGGGATAGTGATGTATATGGACTATGGAGATAGAATACGAAGGTCTGAAATACGATATTGGTCATATGAGCTAGTTAGAAAGGACTAATGCATAGTAGTGGTGTTATAAGGTTATTTTTAGGCTTTGAGGGTAATAGTAACAATGTGTTATAGCGCAGTAGGTTGAAATTTCTTCACCTTATTGGGTATAGTAGATAACGAAAAGAAAATGATAGCAATTCCACATAGGAAAGAAAAAGAGAGGCTGGTTGCTGGCCTGTTTGTTGTCACCCTTTATGCGGGGCAACTGGCCTAGCACCGAGAGAAGCAAAACACAAACAAGCAATAGTGGCGGTCCAGCGTACGTGGGTACGTAAGTCACTAAGCAGGTGGTTTTCTCTTTAGTGTCGAATACAATGTCTTAACTCCGACATGTTGCGCTGAAGTCGATTTTCTCGTGCTTTGTTCGGAAAATTGCGAGATAGGTGCAGCTGCATATGGCGCGGGTTTGCGAGATGGTTTGGCTGGCACCTGTTATTGATCGCTGTGGCGCGGCCGAGGTCCCGTAAGTGGGATACGTAGTGCCCTCCCGCTTGCGTCGTCGATCGACCGGCCCTTTCCCGTTGCGGTCCCATACGGTGCGATCTTTCTACTCATTTTGCGTGGCTGATGACAATGGTGATAAATGGTGGTTCTGAGCTTTGCGAAAGCGGTACCCAGACTGGCTTTCAAGCGAGTGAAAATTATCGGTCTGGATGGGGCGTTGGGATGCCGAGGCGTTGTTCAGGTGGGGCATGCGGTGTGGGTTATCGTTGATATCATAGGGAGTCAAAAGAGCGTGAACTCGATGGCTCTACGACCTGAGTAGATAGGTTTTATGCCGTGATCTGAGAAGATAGTACGTTCGTTCAAGACCGTGGTAAATGAAATCCCAGTCTCCGATCAGTTGACATAGACCATCACCGCAAAGGAAATCAGACAGAAGCAGAGCGGAATGTAGACTTTCCGGTCCATGTCTGGATCTAGCGGGGAAGAGGAGGATGCAGCACCGGCGATAGAACGAGTCCGATTAGCGCGATGGATAGATTTGCTAGGTTTCTGAACCATATTCTGATGGAGGAAAGACAGAGGCTTGAGCCTTGCAGGACCGGGGGGGTTAGTTGTCCTTGACAAGAAGGTGGGAGGGGAAGAAGATAAGGGGTTTGTGCAAAGAAGAGAGGGGAAACAAGGGTCGGGTGATCAACGTTGCGCTGGATTGGGATTCGCCCAACAAGATGCGCATCCTGAGGCACGCCTTCCCCAACCTTTCGCGGCAGGCAGAAACTAGGCATCTTCAGGCATCAAGGCGGGAGACAATGAGGCACGTGATTATATGATTACATGTGGTGAGATAAGCCTGTATGGTATGGTAACTGCAGAAGTTCAGCCCCCACGGATGGTTTGGATAGATTACGGCAGGTGACCGAAGGGTTCGCGAAACTCGGAAAGGTTGGACAAACCAAGTATCCAACAAGCTGCATCCACTGCATCGTTTAGCTTCATCCGTGAAGGATGAGGGGTTCATGACGGCTCCTGTCGTCCTCCCTCCTTCAGGGGACGGGTTAATTAAATGAATTAAACGACCTCCCCTGTCTGTCTCAGATTGAGGCTGATGTGCCTGACAGACACCCTCTGATTTTGATTACCCTGTCCACTTGTACTTCTGACTCCTGCACGTTATTAGCCCATTCCCTGGTCTAATCTCCAGGAAATTGAGCCAGAAGCGCTCGGTAGTTCGGACCCTCTATCCGAATGCGTCTTCTTATCGCTAATGGGCTGAGCGAGTGGGTAAGTAAGTTCCTGACTCTCTTGATTCCTTCTCAGGGCCAGAAATATGGTCCTTCTCGAGTCGCTTTCAAGCTCTTTGTTATAACATTATCCGGCTGAGACATTCTTCTCTTCCTGACCTCCAAAACATTTGGCCAACCGAGCTGGCGCTTAGACGAAGTTTCTATTTATTCATTTACCAGACTTATAATATTTTCTCCGGAGTGTTGTCTAACGCCGGTAGAAAGTTTTGGAACGGTCCCTCCGAGGGCGAAAGTTGTGCTTATTGCACCTCGAATTACTTAGGGTCCTTAATTTTTAATTTCTAGTTTTTATTTTCGCACTACTTACGGCCAATTGAATGTTAGTGGTATTATGACCATTAGATTGGACAACTGTGTTTACATTTTCAGTCTGTTCTAATGGTTGAACCACAGGTTCAATGTACCTGATCCATGGCTCGCATCGATTGGCCTCAATTGCATCGCAGCGTCAATGCTGCGACACTCCTCTGACAGGATCAGCAAGCGGGATAGCCAACTGTTGGATCACAGGTGCGCGGAAATTATATGTGCACAATTATGCGACCGTGGCAAAATCGTGGTTAAATACTTGGCCCCCTTGGCTCTCGGAGTTATTGCATCGTTGCCTAAAAAGGACCGACACCAACTTGCTCCACGGTGACCCTATCGTTACCACCTTGTAGTAATTATCCACTCCTTCGTCCGACCCTAAGCGAATGACATCTTGGACTCCTTCCAACCCTTGGCTAAACCGTTGATGACCCTCGGTTTCAAGGAGGAAAAGACAGGTGAGAACAAGGGGGATGAGAAAAAAAAAATCCATCTGGAAAGGGAGGATGAAAGCGGCGCAGGGGACCGAGGGAGAAAAACAAGAAAACAGCAAATCAGAGCGTGTGTAAGACACGCGGCAGGCACAAGCTTTTGTTCCTCTCTCGCTCCGCCTTCGTATAGTCTACAGTGTGTACGCACTACGCAGGACACACAGTGCACACGCCCTCGTTGCTTTCCCCGGCCGGTCAGCGCAACGAACGATCCTCCCGACCGAGTCGAAAAGTGGATAATGCCAGCCTCTGCGGATGCGCATGCGCCTATCACAGCTGCCAACACTGGCTTTCTCACTGGGGCCGTCTCCAGTCGAGACTCCACTGGATCGATGTCGTCCTTTGCTCCTCCTTCAGTCACCGTGTCTGACCACCTCAGCCGTGACGCAGACCTTGTCCAGTGCCTGCCCAGAATCCTCGCAAGGCCAAACCAGGGGATACAACCTTTTTGCCCCCAGTTATCATCCTTGGGTCTCGTTGGCTCGACGTGACTACTCCGTAGCGGATGAAGTCTCCCTCAGGGGAAAGTATTAATATCATACAATTTGTCTCCATGGCGGCACCCACTTGGCTAGCATCATTCACTGTGACCTTATTAGTACCATTACTCTGCCCACTTCCCGGTCCATAGTAACGGAAGTCTAATATTCCCCTCCTCTTCCCTTTTCGGTTGCCCGGGTTCCTGGGTCTGTCGTTCGCTTTCTCTGCTAGATTCACTTACTAGTTACTTCACTACTATTTAATACATTGAGCATCCCCCGACTCTAACCCGCCTCTTCGATTTCATACCCCGGACACACACAAGCAGGAGTTTGTTCCTTCGTTTGGTCTCTTGCTCTAACCTTCGTTGTTAGCATAGAAGAACCTTCTAGTCTGTCGCTTCTGGCATTTACCACCCCCACAACTACAACATCATGTACTTCTCCAAAACCGCCGCCGCGCTGGCTGCGCTGCTGCCCTTGGCCACCGCGCAGACCTATTCGGACTGTGACCCTCTTAACAGTACGTTGCTCTTGTTCACACCTACATCTGTCCAAAGCTAACCGAGCAATCAGAGACCTGCCCTGCTGATACGGCCCTGAGCTCCACCACCTTCACCACTGACTTCACCTCTGGCTCATTCGGTGGATGGATTGCTACCGCCAACAATGTCACCTTTACCGATGAGGGTGCCAACTTCATCATCAGCGAGAAGGGTGAAGCTCCTACCATTGAGACCGACTTCTACTTCTTCTTCGGCAAGGCTGAGGTTGTCATGAAGGCTGCCAGCGGTACCGGTATCTGCAGCAGTATCGTCCTTGAGTCGGACGATCTCGACGAGATCGACTGGGTAAGCTCTCAAATCCCTCCCAGTCTCATAATTCATCATTTTACAGCCCCTGTTGCCCCTGCCAACCCTATCATGCACGCTCAGCTGCACCTTTATCACCCAATATGCATGGGGGTAGTAGGCTAACCAAATTGGGATATTCAGGAAGCTCTCGGTGGTGACACCACTCAGATTGAGACCAACTACTTCGGCAAGGGTGACACCTCCTCCTACGACCGTGCTACTTGGGCAACTGTGTCGACCCCCCAGGAGACCTTCCACACTTACACCGTTGAGTGGACTGAATCCGCCACTACCTGGAGCATCGACGGCACTGTCGTGCGCACCCTTGCCTACAGCGATGCTCAGAGCGGTACTCGCTACCCCCAGACTCCCATGCGCCTGAAGCTTGGTATCTGGGCTGCTGGTGACTCCTCCGAGCCCGAGGGCACCATCGAGTGGGCCGGTGGTGAGACTGACTACTCCGACGGTCCCTTCACCATGACTGTCCAGTCGGTCTCCATCACCAACTACAACCCCGGCTCCTCTTACACCTACTCCGACAACTCTGGCGACTACACCAGCATTGTCGTCAACAACGGCACCTCCAGCTCTACCACTGGTTCCACCACCAGCTCTAGCTCCGCCTCCACCTCCACCTCCAGCACCAGCTCTAACACTGGCTCTACCTCCAGCACCAGCTCTAACACTGGCTCCGGCTCCGGCTCCAGCACCAGCGCCTCCAGCGCCGCCGCCGCCGGCTCCTCCTCTGCCCTGATTGGCTCTGGCTCCTCCAGCAGCGGTTCCTCCGCCTCTGCCTCGGGCTCCGCCTCTGCTTCCTCCAGCGCCAGCGCCAGTGCCTCTCCCCTCTACACCGGTGCTGCCACCCAGGTCGGCGCCTCCACCAGCCTTCTCTTCGCTGGTCTCCTCGCCGCCCTCTTGTAAATTGTTCCCCCCTTCATCATCGACGCCCAATCCCTGATGCAACAACCTTTTTTCACTTCTCTTCCTGGGTCGTTTGGAAACTTACACCCACCCAACCACCATTTCCCCTGCTTTCACTGCATAGCTTATTTGGAACCGTTGGAAGTACATATTATCTGAAAGAAGGAGGAGTTGTACCATTTGGTTTTATCTTCCCACCTACCCATACTGGCTATCAGACGGAAAGTTAATTTGCTGTCTTGCTACTGTTTTTTACAATGCTGTCGGTTGTTATCTCGGAATGAATCATCTTTTTTACCTTTTTTTTTTTTTTTTTTTTTTTTTTCTACCTGCCGATATTTTATGAAATGGGTCGTTTCTTTGGTTTTTCTTTGTTGTCTCTTCCCGGACGGACGCTCCTTTGCTGGACAAAATCAAAGACTTAATTTTTAGCTCGGAAACCTAATGATATCAATTTAAATCCAATGCAACCCCAATTCCATGTAACTCATATAATAATACTACGTACGCGCCGTGCTACGCTGTGGTTTCTTGGCCCCGGCCCCCCGGGGTAAACAGTACCTAGACTAGATAACTGTTCCTGACAGGTAGCTGTAAGCCATGTGTAACGTGAGACCCACGTGTGACTGTAACAAAGACAGGTGATCAAAAAAGAAACAGAAAAACAAAGGAAAATAGCGCCGCGCACTGCATCCAAGAATTAAACTAAACGCCGACTTGCATGTTTACCCCAACTTTCTCGTTCTTGGCCAGTCCGAATCATAATCAAAAGTAATATATCCTTCATATGCATGTCTCATATTCACATTATTTAGCTTTTCAATAGTTTGCGCTCAGATAGCAAAATTTCTTCTTTGTTGCAGCATCTGGAGCTGATTCGATAGGTTTCGGACGACCTTGATGACCGGGCGATGATTGGTGGACGCTTCTCGGAAAATGTCAGCTAGTGAGGGATCGGGGCTGGAGAGGGCGCTTTCCGACTCCGTGGTGATTGGACGGAGGATGGCAGGTAAGTTGACGCCCAAGAGGGAGTCAACAAAGGCGCGCAGACGAGGTGGCTGGTCTGATTCTGGTCCTGGCTCGGGCCCTGGATTATTAGGCCCGGGCGCAGGAGTAGATGAGCTTGGCTTGGATTGTTTTGATTCGCGGGCTACAATGCTCCCGATTGATTCGAGGTGGTCGTCAAGCGTGGCGAGGTCGTTGGAGAGGGAATCGGCTTTGGACTGCATGCGCGTGGTGAGCTGGTCGAGGTATTGTTCTCGTCGGGCCATTTGGGTGGCGTGACGCGCGTCCTGACTCAGGTTCTGGATGTTGTCGCCGCTGGCGATCAGACTATCTACCGCTGAGCGGATGTCGGCTCGGAGCGAGTCGAATTTCCCCGCTGCGATGCGGGTGGCTTGAAGACATCCTGTGAACTCGAGGTCTAGTTCGTGTTTGCTGCCTGGGTAGGCGTGCTTGAGGTCGGTGTGGATGTCGCGCAGCTTGGATTCGCTTTGTTTTAGTGTGTTAGCGAGAGGGTCTGTTTCGTTAAGGGTCGAATTGAGCAGGGTCTCGAGCCGCGATTGTGAGTTAGTGACGGGGTCCCGGGGGGCTGGTTGGTGGCGGGGGAGTTGTGGCTGGGGATATGGTGGGATGCAACTAGCTGGGTATAGAGTTGCTATTTTGTCCGAGGAACAAAGCGTCTGGTATTGCTGGACTATCTCGGGAAGAACGAGCATGTGAGCAATGGCGGCGATAAGAGCACAATTGAGCATTAAGCGCAGGAATGACTCCAAGAATTTCCATGCGCGAGGCTGGGTTGCTTTTGGTTGGCGAGATCTTTGTGTTGGCGTTGCCGCCGTGACATCTTGTTTGGGTGGAGGAGACTGCTGTTTTTCTGCTTGCGCCGAATCCTTAGGCGATTTTTGAGGCCTGCGTCTGAGAGAGCGCTGGGAACGAGCAGTGGGCGCAACCCAAGATCCTTCTGATAGAGGCGCTTCGTATATTGACGGCATGATCAGCTCTGGTCCCGAGGCTGATGAAGTGGAGGTAGACATGGACTCAGATCCATAGTTGCGGTTCCTCCTAGCTGGTCGAGGCGTCGGGCTTGAAGGCTCAGATGGCTGACGTTCATCTTGTTGCTCATTCTCCTCATGAGAAGCTACAACCCAGGACTCGCCCAGGAATGAGCTGTCCTGGGGGCGAGGACTTTTGGTAGACATCAAAATCTGTGGTCACAAGATACAGACCGGCTAATAGTCGCTTTATGCGAGCTTTAGTCTCTTTTGAGTCACTACACGGTGTTGGTGAACAGACAACGCGCACGCGAGCCGTTGGAAGCAAGGGTTAATGATATGAGATTCCATATAATGTGACAAATGGCTCATGCGCATGTGAGAAACATCGAATATATAGCGATACTAGCAAGGTCAGTCAATGATTTCTTCTACTGTAGCACCGTGCTATCGTAATAGAGAGAGAATGCGACAGGACTGGGTTACTGGTGTGGTTCACGTGAAGCAAGAGTACTTACATAGAAAAGACAGAATAATGGATGAACTAGTATAGCGATAACGGTGAGTGAGCGGCGGTGAACCAGGACGCCGATCCCAAAGTAAAAGAGCCAGATAGCTGAACTAGTTGACGATAGTATATCTAGATCGGTCTTTCAAACGTCCAGCCACCCGATGAAGTCGGTGGGGGACAATCACGGGAACGCGATTCCCAATCGGGAACTCGCGTTGACAGTCACGGGCGACCGAGGAAAATCCTCCAGTTTCACCATTTGGTCGCTGCCTCTGTCCGCTAAAATCCACTATGCGTCGACTGTCGCCCTTGTTACGGCAGCCTTTGCTTTCTCGAAAACCCCCGGTTAGAGGACGGCTGACCCCTTGGCCATCAGTGAGGGCGCAATGGCTCTCATCGACGTCGTCCCGGCTCTGTTCGTGCTCTGACCCGCAGCCCGGCCAGCCTCAGACTCAGTCTTCCACCCCAGCCGATTATCGCGCCCTGGGAACCTCCCAGGACCTTTTCACAACCTCAGTCTACAGTCCCGGATCGCCTTTATTCCTCCCCAATGGCACCCATATCATCAACAAACTCATCACCTTTCTCCGCACGCAGTACCTCCAATATGGTTTTCGCGAAGTCCTGACCCCGACGATCTACAAACGGTCCCTCTGGGAAGTCTCCGGCCATTGGCAGAACTACAAAGATGACATGTACGAGGTGCGCGGTAGGGGAGCCACTGGAGATACGGACGGAGAAGCGGGAGAGGATGAATCCTACGGCCTGAAGCCGATGAACTGCCCCGGCCACTGCCTGCTATTCAAATCGCAGACGCATTCTTACCGGGAACTGCCCATCCGCTACGCCGATTTCAGCCCGCTTCATCGGAATGAGGTTTCGGGCTCGTTAAGCGGGCTTACTCGTGTGCGCCGTTTCCATCAAGATGATGGGCACATCTTCTGTCGGCCACAGCAGATCAAGGGTGAAATCGCATCGGCCCTTGGATTCGTAGACTTGGTCATGACAACATTCGGACTGGGGCCGTATCGCTTAGTCCTTTCCACAAGGCCAGAGAAGGACTTTATCGGTAGCTTGGAGTTATGGAATAGTGCCGAAGCCCAATTGCGCGAGGCACTCGACAATACGGGCAAAGAATGGGCCATGAACGAAGGTGACGGAGCATTCTACGGCCCCAAGATCGACATTCAGCTCCAAGACAAAGCGGGCAAATACCACCAACTTTCCACCATCCAGCTCGATATGAATCTCCCTCAGCGATTTGGGCTGGAGTACCAGGTCGCTGAAGGCGAGGAGGATTACAACCCGGAGACTCCAGGCAAGGCGACCCCGGTCATGATCCATCGGGCAAACTTCGGCTCTCTGGAGCGGTTTTTGGCGCTGCTCATTGAGGAATACGCTGGTCGCTGGCCGTTCTGGCTTTCTCCACGCCAGGGTATCGTCCTAACCGTGAACCAAGATGAGGCCGTCGTACAACAGGCTCACGAAGCGGCTGCGAAGATCTCTGGATTTCGCGCCCTTCAGCCAGGGCAGATGGGGACCGATGCACCCCAGCCTATCTCCTCGGTTGACTCCACATTCTTGATCGATGTGGACAGCAGTAGCCAATCGCTGAACAAGAAGATTCAACGAGCCAAGCAGATGAAATACAACCTCATCTTCATCCTGGGTCCCAAGGATGTTGCTGCCTCTCGCATCACGGTGGACGTGACAGGTCAGCTACAGAGCAAGCCGGAGCGTGGGGTGCAGAAGCTGCAAGACATCCTGACCCAACGATTGGGCGAGAAGGCATTGAAGAACCCTCGGGCCATTCCCCTTCCCGTAGATGATGTGCACGAACTGCTGGTGCAGCTGGAGAAGCAATTTGTATAATACTATAGCAATGACGTGTAGATATAAACCATGTATAATAGAAACCATTCAGTTTGCATGCAAGGTGTCTGTTGGTGTTGGCCAGGAGATGATAGGCCTCTCACGCGGTCTTTGTATACTTGAGTATGTGTGCCACGTGACTGTTTGATTAAGCTTAAATTGCATGCCTGATCCATCTACCGCTGCCTGAATTCGATGGCCGCAAAGGGTTAGAGCCCCCGGTGTGTGGCCTCCTGATTGGCTGTGTTGCAGTCGCACTCGCCCGAGATATCGTCATGCCGGTTTGCGTTCCAATCTTTCCCAATTGCTCCGGCGCCGCCTCTCCCGCTACAAGATCGGCCCATCGGAGTGCCCGTCGACTGTTACAATGACCCGTGAGGACGCGAATGATTACAGTCGAGATGACTGGAGTGATCTCCTATCAACATACTCTCTGAATGTTTTGTCGCCAAAAGAATCCATCGATAAGGCTTTACACGAGTTCTAAGCTTTTCTCAACGGCCCACCTCTGATCTGATCATCATCGCGCCGCTCTTCTCCCCCCCCCCCACGACCCAGGGAAAGGTTCAAGTCTTTGGCTGGAATTAAGGTGCGCCCCTAAGCTTGTGGTGGCCATCGTCGTC